TTCAAAAGGAAAGAATAACTGGGATGGAAGAAAGAAAGAAAGGAAGGAAGGAAGGAAGGAAGGAAGGAAGGAAGGAAGGAAAGAAGGAAGAAAGAAAGAAAGAAAGAAAGAAAGAAAGAAAGAAAGAGAGAGAGAGAAAGGAAGGAAGAAAAAGAAAGGAAGAAAGAAAAGGAAAATATATATACACACAAGATAGCTAAGATAATTGTACTACTAATTTCTACGGGTTTATTGAAAGAAACAATTAATGTCCAATTATTTGATCAATCTTGCATGCCTATATCTGATACTTTGAACAACTACTTTGAAGATAACAATATGCAATATAACAACCATTGTTAATTTCCTATCATCTTGTTATGGAAAAAAAATGTGGTGCTTCTTTTTAAGGATCAAAATATTCTTGTTCCACTGTTGTCATCAATAAATGTTATTTATTTATGCATTCATTCATTCATGTTTGTGGTACTAGGGATAGAGCCCCAGGCTTCATGCATATGAGACAAGAGCTCTATCACTGAGCTTTCACATCCTAAAAGACAGAACATCTGCTTTCCTAGATGTCTGAAAATATCTACTTTTCTGCTTCTTTTGGCTAATTTTTAGAAAGGTCTTTAAGCTATTCTACCTTATATTGTGCCTATTTCTTAAGCAATCCTATAATAATTTTTGAAGCAGAAAGACTATAAACATAAAATTATAAACTTTTAAAGAGTAGAAATCTAGTCAATGAATGTGAGGGAAAAAAATCCCTCTGTGTTGGGAGTATAGCACATTGGTAGAGTGACAGAGTATGTACTTAGCTGATGCTAGGTCCTAGGTTTGATCTTCAGCACCAAATCAAACCAAACCAAATCAAACAGAAGCAGCTCTGTGCCCCAGTGCTCTGCAAGGGCTCTTCCCTGAGTGCTTATGGTGTCTACTGTGTGCCTGCTGCTATGCAAGGCATGGGCTGCAGAGGTGACTCCATCCTGCTCACCTAAGAGGAGCTGTGGGAGGAGCGTGGGACAAAACGCCTGTGTGCGAGGTCTGGGAAGGAGGGCAAGGAAGCAGCCCCTAACAGATTCCAGGGCCAGGGAAGACATGGAAAAGAAGGATGAAGGCATGAAAAGGCAGACAAGTGGGAAGGGGCAGGATGCCTCCACCCTGACATCTGCTGAAGACCTGGGTGGCAAAGATCAATTCATATTAGTAGTATTATTTGTAAGGAAAATACCATCTTAAATGTACTTTAAAGTGGGAGATTAGTATTTTCAAATTTGGAAGTATAAGCCACTTGCATTCCTGTGTATATTATGGAAGGTCAGGTGATCTTGAAATCTCTTGTGCTTCTAATGAGGAAATAGTTTAACTTTCCATTCTGCTAAATGGGCCCCATCTATTCTTATAACCACTAGTATTTAATGATCTGTAGCACTTTCAGGACTAGATATGTATAAGTTAAATTTTTTCTTTGGCACTCTGGTAAATCATATGGGTTCCTTTCAATATATAAAATATATAAGATGTGCAATACAAAGTCCACAGTCTCACAAAGGTACTCAATTAGAGTTATCAGAAATACTTAACAAATAAATCTGTGACTAGTCAATTTATGTTTCTCTAAATAACAGGATATAGTGCCAGGGCTAATGATTACCATGATTTTAAAATAGTGATGAGAGTAATTGGTAATTAGAGATATCGGTCACAGCTGTAGTACAACACAAGAATTTCTATGGTTAGCATTAGTGACAAAGTCCTATAGCTTTTATTCATAACTGAAGAGAATGCTAAATTTCACTTAGGCTAGTGAAAATGAATATTAATTTTACTTCTCATCTTAGTTCATAGACCACTCCACTTGACTTAAAAAGAACCGGGGTTAAGAATTCTTCTCTGTTACCTGGCTTGTGGGCCAAATGAGGTTACCCTGAGGGTTGGCTGCTGAGGAGAAATGCGGAGCATCTTCTGGGACCCCCACCTACTCACATGTAAGCCTTGTAGTTGTTGCCGATCTTCTGGACTCGAATGTCATACTTGGCATCAATGAAGGGCTCTGCTGTGGCATAGGTCTGGGTGAGGGCCACCACGCTAGCAATGTCCTGGAAGTCATAGTGGTTTTCCACTTTGACCTAAGATGGAATAAGGCAGAGAGGGAGAAGGGGGCTATGTACATATGCACACTGAAAAGTCACAAAGGCCTACAGCTCCAAAACCATCACGATGTTTCCAATCCAGGCACAAACATGGGTGTTGCATCTTTCCTGGGGCCCCCTGCTCTCTAGCTTCCCTTCGCTGGACTCAGGGGTCACACTTCCTGCAAAGGATCCCAGGAACCAATCAGGTGGCCTGCACTCTGCTTGCTGAAAGAGGCTGAGAAGCACTCGTGGCTTCAAAAAGGCCATTTCATCTCCTTGGAAAGAATTAAGGAGCAGAGGAAGACGAACAGTCCACAGAAGGGCTTTCGGAAAGAAGCCCGGAGTGCATAGGCCCCTCTGACTTACCTTGCCCATGCCCGAGTGAGCGTGGCCGATCTTCACCACCACAGGAAATGTGGGCAGTGTCAGCTGAGAGCAGAGAAGAGAACGACAAACTGGTCAGCGCCTGCCTGTCTCTGTAGAACCCCACACATGCTTTCCTTGGGAACACCCTCGTGGCCCATCAGACAAATCGCCTGCTCTACAAAAGGGTGAGAATGAATGCCAGTGACTCTCCCAAAGGCGAGCACATGTTAGAGGCAGGCAGTAAGAATCCTGTTCTCCTGTTTCGTACTTTCTACGTCTTATCGTTTCAACGTGCTCTGCATTAGACAAACCCTGGGCAGGACAGGCTCTCAGCTAAAGAGAGTTTTTAAAAAATGTATCTTTGAAAGGCTAAATGTAATTATATTTAACTGTAGGTAAATTGAATCTTAATAAACTTTTTTTTAATGCTTTTTTTTTGGTATTGGGACTCAAACTCAAGACCGCATGCTTGCTAGGCAGGCACTGTGCCACTGAGCTATATCCCCGCCCCTCCCTTTTTTTTTCAGTGCTGGGGATGGAATGTGGCATCTCACACATGCTAGGCAAATGCTCTACCACTGGACCATACCTCAGCCCTCGAATGTGTCTCTAGCCACTTAATGTCCCTTGTACCCTGCACCTCTCAGTACCTGCTCCCTTCAACACCTAGCTCCCGCTCTGATCCGCTGTCCTTTTCCTCTCTGACATCTTACCTGCTCAGTAGCACCACAAACACAGCTTGTATGTCAGGCCCACTTCTGCCCTGCTTGGGGTCTAGAAGGGAGCTGATGTAAAAAATTCAACAAGTGTATCCTTGGAAAGAGACTCTCATGAAAAGTAAACTCCACCTTGAGGTGGCCCTGTTTTGACAGAGGAACAGTAAAAACTTAACAGAGTTGCCCTCTAAAGACAATGCACTGGAAGAAAGAACATGGTACAGTAGGATGAGCTCAAGAGCAGACACCAGACTTCCCGTCCACTCTGCCACTCACTTCCTGCAGGTCCCTTTATGTCACCCAGCCTCGCTTTCATGTCCATTAAATGGTGAGATTGGACTGGATGCTTTTTGAGATACCTACAAGTAACACAACTCTATCTTGGGATAGACACTGTACAAAGGGCCAACCCGGACACACACTCGGACCTGTCCTTTCTCAGCCTGACTCAGCTTGCTTTCCATTCCTTTCCCTTCAAACATCACTAGCATCATCCAAGTGAAATGCTGCCCTCGGGAGGAAATAATGCTGATGAAAAGTCAGATTTTCACGGAACCTGGGTGTGAGCAGACACTGGGAGTGCCTGAAATGAGGATGTCAGTATTCCTGGCTGAGCCCAGTGAAGCTGGGGGGCCATGTTCAAAGGACTTTAGAAATCACACTGGGCTGGGCCAAGGGTATAGCTCAGGAGCACAGCACCTGCCCGGCAAATGCAAGGTCCTGAGTTCGATTCCTGGTACAAAAAAAAAAAAAAAGAAAGAAAGAAATCAGGCTGGGGTACAGCCTAGTTGTAGAGCACTTGCCTAGCTTGTGCACGGTCCTGGGTTTGATTCCTAGCATAGAGAGAGGTATGGGTTCATGCAGTTTGATCCTATTATGTGGAGAAAAAAACTGAGGCCCCGGGAGACAAAGGTCACAAAACTACCTAGCAATAGCCTGAAGTGGAACTCAGCTTCCTACTTCCCAGTCTAGCCCAGGAGGACTACCCTGTCAACAGTGGACATGGCTGGGGTCACAGTGACCTCACTGCCTCAATTCCGAAGCCGCTCCACCTCTGTATCATCACAGTCTCCAGTGGGCAATGACACGGAGGAAGAACGGGTATGGCCCAGGGCCTGGACACAGGGCTTTGAGGTCCAAGTCTGCCCTAAGTGATGGGACACCCATGTTCCAAGAGCACTGCCCCAACTATCGGAGAGTCTAAGGCCTGGCTGTGAGAAAGGGTTTCTAAAGCACTGGCCGCTTTCTTTGACATCTCTCCCCTCCCCACCCCCCAGGCGACAGAGCCAAGACACACACACCCCAACTTTCTCTGCCCCATTCCCTTACTGTTTGCTGTTGCTCTGGAGCCTCATAAATAGGGCATTGAAAACACTTCCTGCAGCTGAAAGAAGCCCTGAGTAGCTTGTCTCATTCCCAGTATGCAGCGCAGCGAGGGGTCCGTCCTCTGTCACTGTCTCTTTTGCCTGTTGTAATTCTGTCTGCCTCTCTCTGACTCTGCCTGTCTCACTCTCTCCCTGTGCCTCCCCTCACTCATTTCTGCCTCCTGGAGCACAGCCCCTCGCTTGGTCTTTCTGCCCTCTCTCATTTGGCTTTGTTGCTCTCTCCATCGTTCTGCCCCACACCGATCCCGGTCCTTCTCCCAGAGCCTTCCCTCTCCTTCAGGCCCTGTAACCGGGCTGACGGGTCTGTGGTCTAGGGCCTTGGGACCTGCAGCCACACGTGGCCACAAGCCAAAGGAGGGCGGAGCACATGGGGCGGGACTGGCCACAGGGGCGACCTCATAAAGCCTGCCGGAGCACTGCGCGGTCTGGAGGAGCGCTGGAAGGGCGCTTCCCTCCCACAGACCTCATAAGCCCTGAAGGGGCTCTAAGGCAGCGTCATGGGCTGGAGCCCTCTGGCCGCTCCGAGCTTGGCGCTGGTGCTGCGCCTGCTGGCGCTGCTGTGGCCCTCAGGGCTGGGAGAGGCGTGCAGTTGCGCCCCTGCGCACCCCCAGCTGCATGTCTGCCGTTCTGCGCTGGGTGAGTCCGAGGCCAAGGTCCACCTCAAGGGCAGGGGTGGGGGTGAGGCGGATGGGTGACGGAGTGGTGCCAGCAGCAGACTAGGAGTCTGGGGAGGTGGGAGGAGCTCAAATCTCACACCCATTGCCTCCTGCTGAGGCTGGTGTAGGGGTGTCATGGCAATCTGACCGGTCTGCAAGGGAGTGAGACAGTGTCAGGGGCTTCCCCAGGTCATACTGCAGCTGGGGCACATCATCCAACAGCTGTCACCAGTGGTCCAGTCATTACTAGTAGTGGACTGGGTTGGGGCGGAGGACGAGAGAGGGATTGACTGTAACAGTTCTCTGTCCAGCCTGTTGCCACTGTGCTCCCCAACACACACCTTCTGTCCTGTTTTCCCCCTCACCTGCAAGCCCTTCCTCAGGCCCCTGAACTCATCCTTCCAGGCCTAACTCATGTGCCCTCTTCTCTGAAGCTTCCTGACTCCTTGGTGCCACCCCAGCATCTCTAACATCTCTGCGCCCACTGCGCTGTGCTAGTGTCCTTCACACGTGTCCTCACTAGATCAAGAGTTCTGCCGCACTGGGACCCTGTCTTGCGCACCTCTGTGGCCTCATGCCCAGTGCCAGGCCTTCATAAGCATGGCAAGAGACGGGTGTCCTCAGTACAGGGTCAGATGTTCTTGAATGCAATCAACCTTACAACCATGAGCTCTGGGCGAACCCTGAGGCCTCAGGCAGCATCAACAGGTGAGGCCAGGCCAGCGCCTTCAGTTGAGGCTCCTCTTCCCTCCAGTACCTGGGCTCTGAGTGAGCAGGTTCAGGTGGCCAGGTGAGCACAGAGAGTGAGGACCTTGGGCATCATGGAGCAGGTACCTCAAGTCCCCACTCACAGACACCTCGCACTGTCCACACCCCACAAACACCTGAACCGAGAGCTCCCTGCAGCATTCTCCAGGGACCCCTGAGCATCTGGCTCACAGGTGGACTGCAAGCACAAGGGCTGAAGGTCCCCTCTTTTCCTCTGCAGTGATCCGGGCCAAGATCTCCAGTGAGAAGGTAGTTCCTGCCAGTGCAGACCCCACTGACACTCAAAAAATGATCCGGTATGAAATCAAACAGATAAAGGTACATGGGGCCAGGACAGGGTGTTTCCCACATCGGGCACCTGGGGGGATAGAGTGTGTGCTCGGGAGGGGCCGGCCTGCCTGGCCCATTGCAGCAGTCGGGCTTGGAGTTCCTGGTGTGGAGATGCTGAAGTTCGATGGGGTGAGATGTTGGGGGCAGGGCCCACGGGTGCAGGCAGCAGTGTAGGGTGGGACCTCAGTGTCCCACTAGTCCCACAGCTGACTGTGTGGGGGCCACTGCAGTACCTCCCCCTCACAGGAGTAAACCGAGGCTTAGACTTTTATTTTTTAAGACAGAGACAGCCCAGTGGGGTCATCCATGTGCATTAATTCCTGAACTAGATTTTTGCTTAATATTTTTAGACTGAGAAATGAGAGGATTTTGTGTGTTAATATACAAACGACACTCACTGCTTTTTGTAATTGACTTTCAGATGTTTAAAGGGTTTGAGAAAGTCAAGGATGTTCAGTACGTCTACACACCTTTCGACTCTTCCCTCTGTGGGGTGAAACTAGAAGCCAACAGCCAGAGGCAGTATCTCCTGACTGGTAAGGTAGAGACCAGCAGCAGGCTTTGATAGAAAGCGTTGTGATAGTGTCCAGAGGAGCCTTGGTGACCTCCTTTTGATACAGGAGTCCTCACAGTGCTCATGGCCTCCACTGTTTTAAGGGCAGGTGGCTCTCCAGTTCAAAACACTTCCAGTTGGTGCAAGATTTTTGGCATCTTGAGCCAAAATCTGCCGCCTAAAACTGGTCCTTATAGGTTCATCTCTGCCCTTTGCCAAGGCCCTGATGGGAGCCTTGGGTCTCACACAGTTCTTTCATGACTCGGGCCCAGACAAACCTCCTCCATAGGAAATGACTGCATAATGAATGAATGCAACAGTAAATTATTTTGGAATTCAGGGAACAGAGGTGTTTGTGTAACTGTGAATAATCATGGGAGCTTCACCGTGAAGTAGGGTCTAAAGTGGCCTGAATAGATGAAGCATATTTAGAAGGAAAGCAAGTAAAATAAAGAGCACAGCATGTGGGGAGAACAGGTGGAAAAATTCTGATATCTATCCATCCATTTGGCTATGAATGAGTATCTACTATGCACTGCCAGGCCTTGGGCAGGAGAGGGGATGCACAGAAACAAGTCCCAGTCCTCAGCAGTCACAGACGAGGCATGGCTGCTGAGGAGAGACGGGCTCCCCAGCTCCAAAGATGTACACTTGTGCTGCCCTCGGGGGCAGAGGCAGAGGCAGCGCTCTCGGTTCCCAGGACTGGCCTGCCAGACCTTTGTAATCCCTCATATCTACCTTATTCCCAAGAACCTCACTTGCACAGGCCCTGGGAAGCCTGTCTCCAGCCTTCTGTTAGGACTTGGGCCCCAGGAGCTCCACGAGCAGACTCTAATGCCACACTATCTTCTGTCTCCCCCTGAAGGCCAGGTCCTCAGTGATGGGAAAGTTTTCATCCATCTGTGCAACTACATCGAGCCCTGGGAGGACCTGTCATTGGTGCAGAGGGAAAGTCTGAATCATCACTACCACAGGAACTGTGGCTGCCATGTAAGGCGGGGTCTGTTTCCGAGATGGGGTGGGGGGGCTTGAGTCTTACAGCCTGGCACATCAGGTGTTCATTTCTTCCTTCATTTACTCTACTACACTTGAGCTCTGCTATGCATCAGGCCCTGCATGAAGTCAGGGACATGAAAATGAGCACAACCCCTGACCTCAAAGAACTTACATTTTGGCTGGGAAAGTGGTTATCAAATAAGGCCAACCGAGATGGCATTACTACAGCCACACTTGAAGCATGTCTACTCTTTGCCAGGCCTACAATAATGAGATTTTTAAAATATTTAATTTAATGTTTTAAATATTTAATTTATTTAACAAGTTTGTGAAGAATTAAGATTTCTACTTTGAGGTAAAGAAACTAAAGCTCTGGGAAGTGAAGGGACTTTCTCCAGGTCAGTGGCAGAGTAGGAGCCACCAGGGTTGATTCCAAAGATGACATGAGAGGTGCGATCCTGCGCTCAGAGTGTGGGGAGAAAGAACTCAGGGGGAGTCTGGGGATGAAGGGCTTCCTAAGACAGGGCTGCTGAGATGGGCTGTGAGGATATATAGGAGTCAGAAGGCAGCAATGGAAAAGGAAGCCTGGCCTCTCACTTTTATACATGTGGTCATGATTCTAGATCACCACCTGCTACACAGTACCCTGTACCATCTCGGCCCCCAATGAGTGCCTGTGGACAGACTGGCTGTTGGAACGGAAGCTCTATGGGTACCAGGCCCAGCATTACATCTGCATGAAGCATACTGATGGCACCTGCAGCTGGTACCGGGGCCACCTGCCTCTCAGGAAGGAGTTTATTGACATCATCCAGCCCTAGTAGGGACTAGTGACCCCCAGGTGCTTTTAAGCGTCCCGAAGACCAAGCCAGTTCTGCTTTGTGGAGCGCTGACTATCACCACCTGGCCAGTTGCTGCCAGCCAAGTAGACAGCCTGGCCAGCATCACAGCGAGTGCACGTTACATCTTGTGCCCAAGATCCCAGCCCATGGCCTGTCAAGGGCTGGGGAAGGCAGCTTGACTTTTCTGTCCTGCCCTCAGGCTTTCTCTGCTTCTCCCAAATCCCATTAATCTAGCTTATACCTGTTACTGAAAGTTTTGATCCTGGCTTAGTTTTCCAAAGCCAGAACTATTCCCTTTTTCTCCAAGACAATGTGTTTTCCTTTCCTTTAACTGACCTGAGAGAGGAGAAAAGGAATGTTATACACAGAGATGGCGTGACCTTGTGATTTGCAGTGCAGAGGGGTGGGGCTGATGGTATCATAAACAGGCTGACTGGCAGGAATGAAATGAACTTCTTACTACAGCTGTGTATCCTCTGCTCCTCTTGTCTTGGCCGTCCTAATCCTCTGACACACCTTCATCTGCTTGGGGCACAGAATCACTTGATTTGAGAGCTAGGACAGCCTAACCTCCCTCCCTCCCTGCACCGCAGCCCCCTCAGCCCCCTCAGCACCATTCAGCACCCCTCAGGAGGACAAGAGGAGGCCTCCTGTATAAGAGTAGACATTTTCCTCCAGGTTAATTGTCCCAAATGCCCTCAACTGGTATCCAGAGGGCTTCTCTTCTGTCTCCTTTACATTACTAAAATCCTTATTCCTACTTCACAATGTTTTTTAAGCCAAAAAAAGCCTTTCTCTAGTAGAACTGAAATCCCTCCTGAACTGAACTGAAATCAGCTGTGGACACCTCAGAGAAATGCTCTTTTCCTCAGGGCAAATTTCAGGACAAATATCTCCACCGTTGGAGGGAAAGCATGCTGGGGGGTTGGGGAGACACCGTTTGCATTTGATGCAGTTTTCCAGTGGTCAGCCCTCCTGGGCATTACAGCAGGAAAATCCAGCTCTGATGCACAGAGAGCCCTCTACCTTCAGCTCAGGCCCCTCACCATTGTGGCCTGGACTACCTGAGGTCTCTGCCACAGGCTCCCTAGGGTTCCTCAGCCTCTGCAAGCCTTTCTGACTTTTCCTGAATGGGAAAGCTCTGATATTGCTTCTAGGATTTATTTAGGACAAGTGCCTAATGTTCTCGAGCCTCTTCCCAGGGAATCTCTGGAAAAGATGACAAAGCAAAGGTTGTGCTTATCTTTTCGGTGTGGTCTGCTGGTGCAGGGCCACATACAGCGTGCAGAAGGCAGCTCTGTGAGTGGAGATTCCGTTAACAGAAGGGAGTGGCAGAGCACAACACTAAGAAGGCCATTGGTAGGTTAAGCAGGGTCCTCCAACCAATCACACCAGCCTTGGACAGGGGGGACAGGGAGGATGACAGGAGTTTGAGCTCCAGGTTGCCCTGGAGGAAAAGCATTAGCAACAGCCAACCAGCTGTGTCGTCTCTCTGCTCCTTCCAACCTCCTAGCATGGACCTTGGGGTTCACTCAGCCTTTTCACTGTCTGGAGGAAGCTGAGGGAATGAAGTCCTGAGAACCGTAGATCTCAGGAGTGCTTCACACTGTACAGAAGGCTATTGCTTTAAAACTATCGTTTCCATCTTGTGCATGCATATTACACTTCCTGGCCAGCAAAGCATATGCCCACTGTCGGGTTGGGAAACTGGCGTTCAGGGAATGATCATTATAACTTGCCCAATGACATGCGGCAGAGGCAGAGCTACAATCCAATCATGAGAGCTAATTGTTGGCCCACAGGCCATTGCTCTCTTAGACTGATTGCCATTGGTTCTACTGTTCTCCATTCTGTCTCCAGAATTTGAAAATGAGGCTGGCAGCTAAAATCCAGCTATCCCAGGCCCACAAAGGTCCCACAGGAGAGCCCTGGGGAGGAGAAGTTGAAGCCCCAAGCAGAGCCCCAGGGTCACCACATGGCGAAGTCCAGGGGGGCACCAGCAGAGCCTCGGCCACCACTCAGTCACCTACCATCTCTTTGTGGTTGGGGTAGTATGTCTGCTCAATAAGTGGGAATTTTTCTCCTCCCAGTGTCTTGTACATAGCCACCATCTGGGCAAACTGCAAGAGAGAAAAATGCTTCAGCTCATCTAAGACAACTGCTGGAACAGACACAGCATCAGTTCATCAAGTAAATATTTAGCAATGCTCTGTAGAGGTCTCTGTGATAAACACAATGAAGATGTATGAGAAGCACACATACAATTTCTGTTCTCGTAGAACATGCACTTTAGACAGAGAAGGGAAAGAGAGCAAGCTAACATTCACTGAATACCTGTTCAATTTGAATGATGTTTCATTTGATCCTTAAATCAAATTGGATGAACTAGGTTCAAACTAAAATCACAGAACTGAAAAGAGGTGAAGCTAGGATTGACACTTGGGTCTCTACCTTAAACTCCCACTCCTCCAAGCAGTGATGAGAGATAACGCTGGAGTGGTAACATGGGCCAAGGCAGGGATGGCAGCTTTTCCCTATGAGTCAGACTGATGCACCAGTTTGAGCAGAGGTGTCACGTGTGAAGCAGTCCTTCAGGAAGATGTGGGTGGCCATGGTGTACAGGACACACAGACCCAGTATTTCTGGAATTGACTTGCCTATCCCAGGACTAAACTCATGGACCCTTCACCCATGAGGAGCTTGAACAGCTCTTAGGGGGAAGGTGAGCATACACACTCACAGGACAGTGTTAAAAGGCCTTTGGCACATATCCAGCACACCCCCCACCTTTACAAAGGAAGAAACTGAGGCCCAAAGAGGTCACTTGCCTAAGGTAACACAATAGTTGACTGGAGTTATAGCTGGGGCCCCTGTATTCCCAATGTGTAACTGTCCTGACTCCTTTAAGTAGCTGCTTTTCAGGCTGCAGAGATCATGCTTGTCCTGCAGGAAACATAGGACTTCCAGCTCAGCCCACCCTATTCCCTATGCACAGGGAGCAAGGGAAATTAGCATTGTCTAAGAGCTACCAGGTTGGTTCACACTCCAAGTCACCGATCCCTGGAACTGCTGCAAGGGGAAGTTGCTGGCTCAAACCTGCCTTCTACTTTGCAGAGAAAGGAAAGCCAGAACGTATTTCAAAGGCCCAGGTCTTGCTCTCTGTAAGGGATGTTAGCACACGCGCAAGGTGGAGGAGCGGAGGTGAGAGCAGTAAAGCTCAGAACCAGGCTATTAGGAAACTGGAGTCCCTGTTCCCGTTCTGCCTCTTCTAGGTGTCCTAGCAACTGATTATTCCCTGCAGCCCTCATTCTCCTCCTATATAAAGTGAGACTGTTACATTTGATCAGTTCCTCAAATTTTGTGCCACAAATAACATTCTTTCATTATTTTTTTCTCCCAAACTCCATTATCAAACTACAGGGAAAGTAGTAATCTGTCGTGGCCCTGTTGTGAGTAAAGATATGTTCTGTTAGTTTTAAAGTGCTGGAAAACATTAGAATTCCTGGGCTACACCCTTTACTGACAGGTAACTGGTGGCTCCAGAGTTCAAGGCCTCTAGGACCCAAACTAAGATTCACACTCTCTCCAGCCCTGAGAGTTCACTGTTGAAAGAGAATTAAGACCAGGCCTCCCATCTCCCAGGGAAGGAGAAGCAGGGGCAGTGCACCTCCCAGACCCCACCTGGTTTCAGCGCTGCCTGGGAGGGCACCAGCTCTCTTCTCGTTGCCCAGTGCATCCTGCACTGGACCCTGCCATCCTCACCATTCTTTGGTTTGCTCTGACTGCCAAGACTGGGTCCTCAGACCTTTCGTGTCTTCTGTGGCTCTCCGCACTACCTCATCTGACCTTTAGGATCTGCCTGCCCACCAGGGCCTGGCTGGACTCCTGCCCTTCCCGGGCTCCCAGAGCTCTCAGCATCCCCAGGGACACGTGCCAGCTCTGCGGACGACCTCTGTCCTGCTGCAGCCCACACACTGGCACAGCACCAGGGGCCCTATCTTCCCTCATGTGGGGGAGTTACACAGACACCACACGGATGCCAGGAAGGCCTGCGGCAGACTCCCAGGGCCCTGGGACAGCCAAGACTAAAATGACAGCCAGTTCCCAGGGTCTAGTTCGGTCCCAGGGAGCTCACTCCACCCTCCTCACCTGATCTCCAGCAGTCCCTCTCTTTTCAAGGCGCTGGGCTTGGCATCTACTCTCTGCCCCCCTGGAACTTAGATTAACTCACAAGTACACAGTTACCAATTTTAAAAATGTAATATCTGATAAGGGTTATTTCCTCTACCCACAGACAAAAGAATGAATTGGAAGCTGGGGGTGCTTTTGCCAGTGAATAGGGAGATAAGCTCATTATAACCACTTATTCAGTGAATTAAGAAAGAATTCATGGGTGAAATGGGATTTCAAGATCGGTTTGAATAATAATATATTATCCCTATCTCTTCTGGAAGTTAAAGGCTTTGATTTAACCCTGGTTCATCTGTCTCCAAAACCCCAGAAAGCCCGACAGGAACTGAGATGAATTTGCAGCAGTATGGGCAGTGGCATCTTGCTTTCTCCGGAATGCAGCTTTCATTGACAGGCCGTTTCTGCTTCTGCAATCCCAGTGGCCTGCCTCGACCAATTCCAGACGTAGCAGACGTGCTCCAAGACACACCGGTGGCAAGGCAGAGCCTTTTCCAACCCACCGAGGCCTCTCATATCACGAGCAGCCACAGTAAGAAAGTTAGACACATGCGCCAAGGTCATGATCTCAGGGCCACCCTCCCTTCACAGTCATCAGATTTGTCCACTTCGATTAACAGCAGAGAACAACATGTAACATGTCATTTCTGTGCCACTGGTTTAGTGAAACTGAGGGGAGAACTCCGTGTGTGGCCAGGGAACCCTGCTGCCCTCATACGATGACAAAAGGCAACCTGCTGGGATTGTGGATGGGTGAGAATATGACCCCTCACCAGATCCCAGGTCCCAGGAGGGGCAAGGCTTTAGGCGGGGTTCTGCCTGCTCCTCCCCTCCATGGCCTCTGTCACAGTTTAGGAGAAGAGCACAAGAAACAAGCTTGTTTTTAGGAGAACTCAGCTACTTGGGAGCTGTAACAACCAGGCTGGCAAAGTGGTGGTGGGTATACTAGTGAGCCCAGGTTGCAGACAAAGAAAGAGGTTCAGTCAGAGGGCTGATAAGTAGTGAAATCACCCAGAAAAAATTGATAATAGCAGCATCACCCTGTGTGGCTTCCAGGGAGCCAAATTCAGATAAGTGAGGCGGGAGGGAGCACCTGGGCAGGAGGAAAAGAGGAGGTCCCCAGGAAAGACACTGGGCCAGGGTCTCCTTTGTGCTCTTCTGCAACTGGCAATACACTCCCATTGCACAATGCTTTTGTCCTGTTTCTGTGAATTTTAGGACTCTAGATGCCTCATGCCACACACAGGGAAATAGGAATCCAACCTCTCCTTAACTG